TGGCATTTTACTTCTAGAGCAATTTCTTACAATAAGCTGGGGCTCGCCTAATTTAATTGTACCACCAGCGTTAGCGCTGGCGGTACACATGGTTTCGGTCTCGTCCGGATCGTTCCGCCGGCTCCGCCGGACGGCTACCGTTACCGCTTCTCCTCCTAGACGGTAAGGCCCCCCATACCCATCTCATGGATTTAGGTCACCTATAATCTCAACTCGTTCCACGTAAAATTTGGGCTTTGTCGGTATTGGGGTCAGGGTGTGGCACTCATTGCAATGCACCCTTGTCTAAAAATGGCAAAATTAAATGCTAATTATCTACCCTACGGAAGGAGTTATGGGAAAAATTTCTATAGACGGCTTTCCAAAAGTCATNTGAAGAAAAGATCACACTTATTTTCTTCCCTTGAAATAAGAATTTTTGATATGCTGATTCATAGTTCTAAACCATATCAAAAAGGCGTCGTTTGCCTTCTAAAATACTCCAAGGGGGCCGAGGGTCGGCTTCTTATCCGAGGCCTGTCATTCCTAAAAGAAGGTAGGGTCGTTCGCGTCCGCGGACCCCTCCCCCTTCAAAAACTCCTGGCTCTACCATTGTGGGTAGTAATTAGAGTAAACAATAAGAAGGAAATGCAAAAAAAAAAAAAAAAAAGCACATCGGGTCTTTGTGTGGATATTATCCTGAACACTTTGTATGTTAATGTTGCCATGAAACCAAGATATCAATAATTTAAACCACGTACATTGTTTATAATATTATTTTACAAGTCTGCTTTCTCAGTTATCGTTTACATGGGCACCACCTGACCCAGCTGAGAAAGTGGATCTTCTCCTGAACACCCTGGATGCGTGTCTGCCTATCCATAATACTTACGCTATATTTCGTCTTTTGCCAAGATTTGGTAGCTGCGTGAACATTAAAACAATAGATTCCAGTTGTATTAAGGGTTCTTGATTCTAAATGACTTTGCGAAGAGGGAAGACTGGGGCCGGTGCAAGTTATGAAAGAAGTTCTAAAACGTCCAATTGTAAATTATTGGATATTTGCAAGTTTCAGGAAGAGTCTTTAGTGTGGTTTGAGCAAAAGGCCTGGTTGTATTTCTAAGAATGGTAAGTTTGTTATGTGTAGGTTGTATTAGAAAAAGGCGACATTACGAATAAAACAGCTCTGGGAGCTCAAAGAAAAATTGTTGCAAATGGAGCATAAAGTACCAAAAGAATCTATAACCAAAATTTGTTTTTTTTTCTTCACAATGTGTCTGCGACCAATTTTCATATGAAATATGCTTGCTGATTTGCACGAAATATTGCACTCCTATTTGATGTTTTCGTTAATGCACTAGGGCCTTTTTGTGCAACCACCTATGTAGAATCAGAAACATAAAACATAGTGCTAATAAATAAAATTTCGTGTAGACCTGTCCCCGTAGGCAACGAGTTAAAAAACAGTAGTTCTGAATACGGTTTAAAAGACAGTGATATATATATATATATATATATATATCGGAGAATTAAGTCAGTACACCATGAAAAAGTGCTCCACCCATGGCGGCGGCCCGTGGGGAGCTGGTATAATCAAGGATGTGAATAACTTAACTTCCTCTCTCCATTTTATTTAAAAAAACAAGCCCTACGGCCGTTTCGGCCCTGAGGCCTCGTCAGGGGCGAAAACTAAATATATATATATAATTTTAAATTAAAAATGAATTTTTAATTTAAAAATGAATTTTATGAAGTGAGATAATTGAGACCTCACAAAGAAATCTCAGCAAATGTTTCAAAAATATCCCATTATCATAGAAAGATAGGCTAACAAAGTGTGTGGGGGGGGGGGGGGGGAGTGGGGAGCTCTATTTGAGATGTACAATAAGCGACACGACGGAAATATCGGAGTGCAAAAATTGACTTGTTTTAATTGAAATTTAATAAATAACTTATTTGGCAATTTGAATTTCCTTTATTATTTTGTGTATCCATAATATTTGATTTTTAAATTATTGTAAAAAGTAAGTGTTTTAATACATTGAGTTAAGGACAGGAAAGTGCCCGCCATGAAAATTGCACAGTTACGACAGCTGTAGGTGATAATATGTCCACACACATCGTTCCAACTGCCAGCCCTTAATATTGAGATCCAAAGAGGATGGTTCTGTCATAATCACGTTCCTTGATATGATATGATAACCGATTACAGCACTGATTAACTCACACTCTAGTTGTCCAGATGTATTGTACTTTGGACTTATCACCTGACAAGCACAATGTGGGATCATAAACAGCGGACACGTCAGCGTCGTCCATGCAGGGGCACAGTAATTAAATCTCGGCTCCATTCGACTGGACGCGTGGGGAGGCGTGCGAAAGGCGGAGAGACCATTACAGGGTTTAGCGGTCTTCCTTTCAGGTAGGGTCCGTCATATTTGATCTTTGGATCAGTTGGTAATAGGATATTCTATTCTGAATGGCCCGCCCCATAGTGGGGTTATAAACAGCGGACACGTTTTATCAGATTTGTGTCAAGGAGGGGAGGAAACCTTCCCAGCGGCCATAACGTTGAGAAGACTTTGAATAAACCTTGGATTTAAAAGTTGTGTTAACCTCGGATTACAACGTTGTATCAACGTCAGTGCAAACAATGTCATATCAACCCCACCCAGCGGGAAATTAGCCTGGATGTGTTTAGCAGTAGGACATGTTTGATGGCTAAATGTATGTAGGGTATAAATGTATGGCCTTTAAGTTAAAATATCCAAGGTTTAAATTAATATATACAGTTCTTTCCTTATATATAAAAGATCCAGTGTCCAACTCAGTTTACTTCAGTTTTTTTTTCTTAATCATTGATGAAACAAAATAATACCTGGTAAATTCTGCCAATTTTCGTGATGCAGTCTTGTTCAGGGATAAAAGTTACGACTCAAACCGATTGCTATCTTACCTCAAAATAGGAAGGTATTAAATTGACGATAACACCCTTGAGTTGCCTATGCTTTTACATTGCAACGAGAAATATTAAGCCGATATTTTATATTTTCGAGGGCATTTTATTGTTTTTAAACAGCAAAGATAGACCCATTATTGAATAATAAGATGCAGGAAATATCTCATTATCAATATCTGGATAATAACAAAGACTTACAATACCCTTAAGATTAATCAGTATATTTTAATATATTAAAATCCCTAAAAACCAGCACGCAGCTTATCAGGCCGACTCCTATGGTGACGTCATCCCTTATTTAGCAAGCGGTGACCCCGCCTGATGCAACGCCTGCTCTATAAAAAAAATCTCTGAACTTTTTTTTTGTGCATTAGGTATGACTTCCCTTGTTTTGTTTTGTTTTTCAGATAAGTCTTCCATATATTTATAGTTTTGATTATTTCCCTTCATATAATAAACAAGGAAAGGTGCTACTA